AGTTATGTAAATCATTCTATCTGTTCAAAAAAAAACCAAGCCAGATCCTGTGCATTATTCGAATCAATAGGTAATAAACCAAATATGTATTTTGTTTCTGCATACTCGCACTAAATTTTATTCTCACACTACTTCTGTTTCTTTATCGGGTTTACAAATTGAAGCCAATTTTTATTATTTAATTTTAAGAGGAAAATCGACGGTGTGCACTTATTAGCCGCCACTTTTAGCAATAAATCATTTTAAAATATTTACCGTTATATTAAATTTTGAATAATTACAAACATTTTTTTTTATATTCCAAGAAAAGCTGAAAAAAAATTTTCTTATAGGCATAAAGGCGTTATCCTTAATTTTTTTTTCGTGTTTTACCTTGCATCTTCTTTATTCAAAAACAAAAATTTTTTTTTCTCAATTTCTTATCTAATTGAATTTTAAAAGACCATAAATAATTGATTATTTTCACTTCATAACAAAGCATTTAGCATTAGCATAAAACCATAAAGTTTTGATCTTTTACCAGGATTTTTTAACAATTTTTCCATTTTTTTTCTCCGAAAGAGCAAATAATTTTTTTTTCCTATTTCTTCTTTAAACACAAGACGACGTTTACACTAAATATTTGGAAAAAAATTTCCAAAAATCGCCCTTATTATTATTTTCTCATTATTTACCTTAAGGATATTGACTACTCCATCCCTTAAAATTCAAAAAGGAAAAAAAAGAAAAGAAGCAAGGCGCTTTCCATCTGACCACAGAGAATCATTCAGAATTAAAAAAAAAAATTTAAAATAAACGATGAACGGCAGAATATGAAGAGAAAAAAAAATGTCTAAAGGACATCATATCCTTGTTCTTTTTTCCCATTTGTGTGGAAGATGCGTGGATTATCAATGGCGTGTAATAGCACGTAACGCACTGCTACGCAAATTGTTCATGGTAAATTTAAAAAAATTTTTTTTTGTTTCCTCTTTTTTTTCAGAAAATTTGTTTTTTTTTTTTTATAACAAGGTTTGTGTAAGATTTTTTGTTGTCTTGAAATTTGGCCTTCGTTTTTTTTGTCGTTGTTAAATGCTTTCCTAATTAAGGATAATTACAATTTTAGTAATTTTCCGCTGGTTCTTGTTTTATTTATTTATTATTTGTTTATCCATTTGATTTTTTTTTTTGTTTTCTGAAATAATTTTTAATTTTTATGAATTCTTAATTAACCTCTGTGATAAATTTGTGAGAACTTTTTTTTTTCGAACATGTCTGAAAAAAAAAAAAATCTTACATAATTTGATAGTAAGGTAACGAGGGTGTGCTAATTAATGAGCTTCCAAGCAATCATGTATGAATCATGCTTTCAATTGCATCTATTATGGCTTAATTGAATACTTTTGCATATTTTCAGGCGGAATTTAAGAACTCTTGTTATTGGAGGCTTGTAAAAGTTCGAAAATGAGTTTATAAATCAAACTGAAGAGAAATATTAGTGAAGAACTGAGAAAGATTATTTTTTGTTTAACATAATGGAGACCCATGAATTTTAATTGCATTTAATAAATTTAATCAACAACCCCTTATTATTCTAAAATCTTAATTGTTCATAATATCTTAATAACAAGAAATAATCGCCATATTATTTAATGAATGTAATTTTAAATGCAAGAAGAAGCAAGAACAATTTATTGTACTCGGTCTTTCGCTTAATTTGGTAAAAAATACGAAAAAATTTACATTTTTAATTCAAACAATTTACATAATTCTCATTAAATAATAAAAATGTTTAAATCTTGAAATCTCAATTATTTTTAAGAACGCGTAGATTTTATAAAAAACAAAAACAAAATTTTAACCAACCACTTTTAATAATTATTCGTTTTAAATCTTCCTTTAATTTGCATATCGCAGAGGCAGAATTCTTTATTAAGGAGAAGAAATTAGAACTAAAAGAGTTCTACAAAATTTCATTAAAATTAAAATTTTTTCTCATTAATTCACATGCTAAAAAATATTAAATGTAAATTAGAATATTAAAAATAAAAATAAATAAATTTAATAAAAAATTATTTAATAAACATTCTGTCCCATTTAACAAATTTGAATCCGTATTTTATCCCGGAATTGTATAAAATACGGATCTAATTCGGAAAATATTCTACAGATTACTCTTTTTGTCACAAAATATTATATTTTTTTGAAAAAGAACGGAACAGTTTTGAAATAGATTAGCTTACAACAAGGAGGTGGAACAAGTGGATAATAGCGTTCCATTGTAAAAATCTATGCTTTCTGACAAACACGTTTTCAATACAAATCTCTATTTTTTGCTATGGTAAAGCTAGTAGCAGGGAAAAGTATAAATAAAAGCCGGAGATTATGTCAATATTTTGACTGTTAAAAAATGTAACGTCATAAAGAGAGCATTTTGACAGTTCGTATTATGCAGTGACGTGTAAGACTCTTTGTAAGTCTCTCTCTTATAAGAGTGCGTATCATGTACTTTGTTGAATTTTAAACAAAACATACATACTTGCAAGGACAAATTAGTTTCTATTTATGTGAGATAGTGCTGAGATATTATGAGAGCAAAGTGCTGTTTACAAGTGCATGTTATATTATGTGTGTGTGTTCATGAGCAGCGTTCCCACTTGGATACAATTGTATCCATTTGGATACATTTTTGCTTTAAATTTGAGCTTGGATACAAAGATACTCAAATCTGCTAAAATGCCGAAATTGGCTACATTTTAAAATTTTACTGAAATATGGATACATTTTTTTTCAAACACTAAATAAATATAACAAGACAGTTAAAATGCTGCTAATATTAAATCGCGAAGTTGCTTTATCATCAATAAATGTTATTTGCTGGCTATTCTAAGAAGGTTTCCGAATTTTTTACAAGAAAGTTGAAAAGATACTTTATTAACTGCCTCTTCCTGTATTCAAATTTAGAAAATTCATACAAGACTTTCTACTTAACTTTCACATTTAAAATATAATAGAAGTTGTATGTGATTTCTTAAAGAATTTAGTATAAATAACAAAACTCATATTGTGGAATAAAGCAAATTAATATTAATTATGGGTTAATTTGTACAAAATAAGACGACTTATTATAATAATGCTATTTTACGAGGTTGGATACATTTTGGATACATTTTTTTCTCGAAATTGGATACATTTTGTTTTTTCCGAGTGGGAACACTGTTCATGAGTTTTAAAAAATCTGACATTTGATTTTCCTAATTTATTATTGTGTTTGTGCTTTGTCATCTCAATTTGAATACATTCACTGCCGCATTATAGGCAGAGTTACTTAAGACTACGTGGATCATCTCTTTTCTTTTTAAATTTTTAAAATTAAAAATAACGGTATAGTTAAAACTAATTATGTATGCAGCACATAAGTGCTCTTCCGTTGGAAAGTTTTTTTCCGCTTTGATTTAAAAAAAAAACTTTCTCTCTTTTGCTTGTGTTGTCATATAAGAAATTTCCATAACAGTAGATTTTTTGTTTTTTTTTGAAGGAAAATGTAACTGTATTTAAAAAGCATGACTAAAAACAATTGTTTTTTTTTCTCCTTGGTTTTTTTCTTTTAAATTAAACTTTCTGTAATTTTTAAAAGCCTAGAAAATCATAAGAGGAACTTCATGTTCAGGCATAAGAAAATTTTATGCTATAACGTTTCAGTGTTACCATATGTGCGTCATTATTCAAGAAGTGAAGGTATTTATTTACTACTGACAGTGCCATTGCAAGAATATTCACTGGAGTTGCCTCTCAGTTTTGCTTTGTAATTAGTAAACCGAAAAAAATTAATGAATTTAATTTGAAATATCATAGTTAGCCAATTCTTCAATATCAATTTAATTTTCGGAACGAATAACTTTGTTAATGTGTAATGCCGAACTTCGTAGAACTTAAAACTATCTTCAGTTTATGTTTATTTTCATTTCTGTATACGGTTCTCTAATGGATCTCATAGTTATACCGTAATACACTGGTCGACTATTGACAATTTTCCAGGCAATGCAAATTAGTGGAATAATTGCATAGCAGACCATTTTTTTTTTAATTTTAATTTATTCCACAATTCTTTTAATTCTTTGTTACTTTTAATAAGTTGTGTATGATAATTGTAACAAGAAATTTAAATAAAAACTCAATTTTTAATATAATTATACAAACGGTATACGTATACTTAAGAGTATAACAGTTAAAATAAATTAAAAATAATGTAAAAAAATTATACACTCTAGAAAGTTTCACGTTCCTATTATTCCTTTTGGTTTTAACGTATAAAAATGTCAAAAATAATTTTATTTTTTTTTTATATTTGCATTCAAAAGTTAAGAGTCAGACAAGCGTAAATTTTTAAATAAAGAAAACAATATTTTTTAATGAAGACGTCATGTACAATTCCTCACATACATAGATGAGAGAATGTTTGCCTATACAAAAGTTAAAGAGAACTCATGTCAAAAAGAGACAGAAATAATTTACATTATTCTTTTTATTAATGAATATGGTAAAATTTTAAGATTTTGATAAATTAAAAATTCCAGAACAAAAATTTCCAAATTATTTCTTGCTTGTATTTTTTTAATTAAAAATCAATAAATGAAAAATATGTAAGAGGAAAAAAATCCATTAAAAATCACATCCCTGAAAAAGACTCTCTCTTTTTCCTTTTGTTTTTCCATTTTCTTAATGTGTCATCGTTTGACAGCTTAAAGATAAGAGTATTAATTTTTTATGCTGCTCTGATTTTCCTTTTCTCAAAAGATAGAAAATCTTTGAGAAAGAAATGGTCAACTTAATTATTCATAAAAAAATTTTTGTCTCTTTCGTTTTCTTTGAATCTCTCATACTCTTTAGCTAAAAACTAAACACAACACTTTCGAAGGTCAGTTTAACCACACTTTCATTTTCCGTTTATGATTGTTTTAACAACAAATTTATTTTAATTTTAACTACACAAAAGTTTGAGCGTTTGAGAGTTTTCTGACTTGTTTTCCAAGTCTTGATACATGTCCTTGCGTATTTATTATATTTAGTTTTCGATTGTTGTTCTTCACTTTTGTTGTCACATGACATGTTACTCTGACATATTTTAACTGCCATTGTTTGTCATTCAAATTGTGTGGAATTCAGTAACAGTATTTTTAGTTGCAGCTGTATACTGTATGAGAATTGTGAATTCCATGTGTTGTAATATTGCTTTTGAATTCAATTAAGCTTAAAAACACAAATAAATGAATTCACCTTGAAAAATGCTCTCATATTACTCCCTGTTGCATGAGTAATGTAATTCGTATCTTATCTCTCCTGGAAGAATTGTTATTAATCTTATTACGATTTATTTTTCAATCTATTTCTAAAAATCTTAATAATAAATAACATTGACTGAACTATCGAGACAAGAAGTTGAAGAAGTTAAAGAACTTTTTTTATGTAACAAACAAGAAAATAAAATGATAAACAAACTTTTGGTTTATTGTTTTTCATTATTTTTAGTTTTTGTTAGAAAAAAAAAAACTTGAGATTTTCTTGAAAGATTTTTTTGGTCCCAAAATAGTTTTTTAACAATATTAAATAGAATATAAGGATAAAATCGAAAATTAATAACATTTTTCATTTCAAATGAATATTTAATGTCAAAACTAAAATATGTAAGTGTACGAACTAGAGTATGAGTAACATTTTTAGTTAAATTTCAATGAAAAATTTCTCATTTATGATTCATTATATAGAGAGCAAATGTACACAAAATAAGAGAATTTACAAAACTCTTGAAAACTTAATTAAATGTCAAAAAGTTTACTATTTGTTGTCTCAATTTTGGGAAGACATTTTTAATATTTTGTAGTTTTATTTCTTTACGGTTTTAGTTTTCGAAGATGCTTTTATTGTGGTTTTTATCAAGAATATTTTTATAAATTACTCATTCCTATTGTATAATTAAATATTTTTCCTATAAAAGTTATAGTTTTTTTACGTAATATACAAACTAATAGTAAAAAACTTCATATATTTTAGTTGGGGTTGCCAGTAGTACGTATATTTGGAAGAATGAGCTCAATTCAAATTATTTTCATCATTCACGAAAGTTTTTAATTCTTCAAAATTTTGCATGTAAATTTTAGATTTTAGGAAATTTTTTGTAAATGACCAACATTATCTTTAACTTATTTAATATTCATGTCACTTAGTTTTACCTAATTTTTTAAAAATCAAATTTTTTTACTAATTTTTTCTTGTTTTTCTTGTAGTTCTTGTAGTTCCCAGAGTTCTTTTACTTTATTCATTAGAAATTAAGAAAACTTTTACGAATTGGTTCATTTTTAAAAGAATTGAACTTTTGACAGCAATTTTTGATGTAGTTAACGTAAGTTACGTTTGACATATTTTTGACGTAAGTGAAGTGTTTAGCGTAATTTTGACTTAATATTTTTTATTTGATTCAATTTCCAAAACTTCCAGTCAATATTTTTATTAATCATTTGGACGGAAACCGTTCAATGTGATTGATTAGATGGAAAACTTTGTTTACATTAGTTACCCACAGGTGGAGTTAGGTTCACAAACAAATATGTCATATCCAACAAATATAATGTACGTACACTATTGCGTACACACTCTCTGCAATTAAAATTTACAATTATACTTTAAATTTATTTTATGTTTCAATTTTACTATTTTATTAAAATTAAATGGCATTAAATTTTATTATATAGTAAAATTTAAATTTTCCAAAATCTCATACAATATGTGAATGACATCTGCTTTTTATGAACACAATTAATGATTTGTTTCGAAACTTATAACAATAGAAATTAAGATGTGTGTGTGCATGTTAAATATACGGGAAATTCAAATATGTTACGCTGGTTGTTATTGTTTCATACCAAACTACTTTCACATATTGTACTTGACTACACTCTCGCATATTATTTAAGACACAATTATTTAAAAAGCAAAGATAAAGACGTGCCAAATCTCATTCCATTAATTTCTCATCAAAATCTATATTAAGTCACACTATATATTTGTTTATGGAATGGGAATGAAATTTTCTTTTGAAGCTTTTAAGATGTCATCGCTTATCATACAAATAATTTTGTATTCGAAATGTAACACCTTCTTTTCTATATTATACACTTATGTAAGTACACGGTAAAATAATAAATTTTAGACAGGTATGAAATCAAATTTAATATTATATCCTTTTATTTTGTATATTATTTTATGATATCCTTGTTAGATTCCTTACATATTATTAAAATTGAATACAGGATATGTCAAACTTAAAATGGTATATGATAGTTTATAATTGAATTAAGAAGTTTTTCTTACTTTCTACTCGATTTTTACTTTTTTGCGAGGAGGGAAGGGGGTATTTGAAATTAATACGACTGTGTGCAATATATCGGAGTTAAATTTGTCTTTTGAAAATTATAATTGTTGTGTACAATTATTGTGCCATATTTATGAGCATATATAAGTACAAACATATATGCGAGCACATTTAGTTTGATGAACTTTATAAGAAAGTTTTTAATAAACACTTTGGGATTTACTTTTAATGTTAAATAGAAGCAGAATTAAAAATTAAACAGAAATAAATCGGAGAAAGAATTTAATAACTGTGAAAGGTAGTAAAAATTAAGAAGCAGGTTGAAGAGTAATTCTATTAAGGTACAAAGAGAATTTATGAATCGAATTCGCATTACTTTAAAAAGAATTATACAATTGTTAATTGAAAAAGTAAGGATAAATTTAAGATAATTTGTTTACAGGATTTAGAATTTCATATTGAAAGCAATTCTCAATTTAAAATTATTTACTAATTAAATTATGAATTAAATTAAAAGATGCACGACTCTAAATAGTTGCTTTGGATGTCTTTGATAATAGCTCATTCAATGTGATCTTTTAGTCGAAGATCTCCGAAGACACGACCCAAAATAAACTGGCTTTGCGAATGATAACAACGTGATATGTAAAATTGCACCTAACTTTATTAGAAATCTCACTATTTCCAAACAAAGGTGGAAGAAATCACCCGGTACTTCAACGGATTCTGTATCGTTTAAAAATAAATCTGTTCATTAGATTTTTTTGAAATTTTTGTCATTGAAATTATGCGCGTGGAAAACTATCATTGGAAATTCAATAGTAAAATCGTCGTGAGATTGTCAGAGGGAAATTAAGATGCTTGGTTAAAAATTGAGTGAGAATGTCTATAGGCGCTAATGAAACTTGGTACAAAGAAAAAAGTACTTGTATTTACTGATTGAATACGACCAGATTTATTTCTTTATGATAGGAAATGTAGGACTTAGCGGGTTGCTACATCTTAATTGTTGTGTTTTAATGGCTACACTGAATTTCTTTGAAGTTGGTATCTTCTAAAGTTCCGATGTTGTTCTTTATTGTATTGTATTCGGCAAAGAGTGTCAAAAATGGACGATTTCAGTATTTTGTTATCATTTCTAGAAAATACGAAGAAAATCGCTTAATAATAATTCCAAAACATTCTTACAGTTTATCTCAGGTCAAATTTTAGAGTCTGCTTTCAGAATAGCATGTTACTATCTTATTATATCAAAATTATTTTGATATTTATTACATAATCTTAATCTTTTTAATTTCTGAATAAAATTTTTCATATGCACAAAACTAAATTAAGAAAATTCTTTTTAATTGTAAAAATAAATCTTATAGCAAATAATCATTATCAGCAGCATTTATTCTCTCTACTGCAATTTGAATAAAATGTAATAAAAAAATTTATCAAAAATTATCACACATAAGCCTCAATTATTTCTTCATATAAGAATGGAATAAAACAAATTATATAAGCAAAATGAATTAGAATATTTCATACTTAAATATTCTTCCATATATATGCCTAGATCCTTATGAATATACTTACATAATCTTCATATATCCTTGGATAATTTGAATTTTTCATATTTTAATTTCTTTCCTCTCATTGTTGTTTTATTGTGTTTCTCATTAAGGGCTCTGTAACGCTTATCAAACAATGAAATTAGAAATAATATTTTTTTGTCATAGCATGCTCTGGTTGGCTCTTTAAAGTTTCTCGTTTTACATATCCTTATAGTACTTACAGCTTGCATATACTTAAAATAATATTAAAATTTTTCGTATATTTTGTGTAATTGTCAATGAAAGAATGTCAACTCACCACTACAAATGTAAATCTATAAATGAGAAAAAAATCCTTATTTCTTTTTAACCCTTTTTCATTTACATTTAATTATTATTTAAAGTTATCATAGATAATGCTACCCTTTTTATTATAGGCAATAGGCATAATAGCTTCATTTTCCCTTATAGAAAAGAGGAATTCAAATCAAGATGGAACGAAAAAAAAATTAAAGGGAATTTATTAAATCTGAATCAAAAAATATTTTTGAAAATTAATATAATAATGAAGAAATAAAACAAAAGGTTAAATAAAATAAATTAAATGTATTATCGACACAAACACATGCACACATGCATAAATGACATGAATGTTACGTATATAGGCAAAAACATAATTTTTTCAACAAGGGATTCTCAAACATCAAAATTTTTGAAGCAGATTTGGGTCATGAGAAAAGGCAGTTTGTGAACAAATAATGAACGTGGCGGTATAATCGTCAAAACTGTAATGAAAAAGCAGTGCAATGAAATCATATACCACAGGCACAAATGTGCTTTATGATCCAAATATAGCCCTGTGTAATAATAAGAAGGGAACACTAGAATAAATGCGAGCAGCAAGTGTAATAGATAGAAATAGCAAGAGTAGTCGTAGTAACTGTCATAGCAGTAGTAGTAGTAATTTTGGTAGCGTTAGTAGTAACAGTGGCACTTGTGATAAAAGTAGTAGTAGTTGTTCTTTTAGTAGCAATAGTTGTAGGCATTGGTAGCAGCAACAGTAGTCGTAGTAATAGTCATAGTAGTAGTAATAGTAATTTTAGTAGCGCTAGTAGTAACAATAGCAGTTGTAACGGTACCAGTAATAGTAGTAGTAGTTGTGGTTGTATCTTTAGTAGTAATAGTTGCAGGCACTGATTTAGTAACAATAATAGCAATAGTTGTAAGAG